TCTTGGTGAGCGGCCGGCACCAGTACCGTAGAAACACTCGGGTCCGTTCGTGCCGTTGGGGGTCGGTGTGGCGGTCCGTATGGACTGCTCGGGCAGATTTCTATTCTACAAAAATTAACAAGCACGGAGGAGGTAAGCGAGCAAACAAAGGTGGATGTCAATGCTTGACGACTGCAGTCAGGGCCCGGCCCGTAGTCTTTCTGAAAACCTTCGCAACTTACAAGAAACCGATAACTACATGAAAACCTGCTTGGACCATTACCCCCCAAATCGTTTCTTGGTTGTCGTGCCCACGGATAACGTCAAGTACACCAAAGTCCCAATTGATGTACCTTGTCCGCAGCGGTAGATTTTCCAGAGTGCGTCAGGAGGCCAGGGGGCCACCGCGAGTAGGGTTGTATGCATGGACTATCGACGAAGGAAGCGATCCAAATCCCCACTAGTTCTGGGTTCTGCCGCTTGAAGTATTCTCTAGATTGTTCCTGTCTATAGTCTACTCTAAGAAACTGGGTAGGATGCATGTGCCTTGTTGAAGATTCGACTTGTGGCAAGTTTTGACATTTTTCTACTGCTTGTTGAGTTGACTATTTAGTCTAGTTAGTAGCCGGTCGCCCCGGAAGTCTACTCTCGAAAACCTTCCAGTGACCAGGGTCAGGGGTTCGAATCCCGGCGTAAGCGAGCTTTCCTTGAAAGGTGGGTTTTCTCTTGCTTGCGTTCCTGGCCTGGGTGGAAAGCGCTACATAGTTCGTGTGTACACAGAGGGGAGAGAGTGCTGCACTCTTCTCGCATTGAAATCGAAGGCAAGGCACCGCAAGAGGGGTAAGCAGGGTGCCTATGGAGAAGAACCCTTCCGTGTGACCACGGGTTGGGATAACCGGCACAAATGCTGTGAGCAGTGATCTGAAGTGAAGACAACAAATTTTTGATGCTACAAGAATCTAGTTGGCTTCGGCGTCTCTCTGGATTTTTGGGAGGCGGCGACGATCGACCCTTCGTGATTTAAACTATTGTGGTTTCGTCTGCTCGGTGTACTGATCAAGCGGTTGACGTGACCGTGCGTACAGTAGCTCGGGACGGAGATGCGTCCTCGTTATGAGGCCGCGAAGAGTCTCAGGACGCAAATGCGTCCTCGTTATGAGGCCGCGAAGAGTTTCTTCGGCAGCTACAAAAACGTCGATAGGCATTTTTTCTGGTTTTTTCCTATGCGAAAGGTTGATGAGGTGTTCTATGTGTGCGTCACACCGACAAAGCATGCGTCTATTTTCCCGTCCGTGCATACTTCCCGGCATGAGAGAGGGAAGAAGATTTACCCCTCCCATGGCAGCCTCGCCCCCTACTCCCAATCTCTCAAGGCATGACGACTAGCTAACTTTGAGGCTCCTCGCGGGCGGCAGGACTGGCCGCGCTAATTCCCACGTTGGCGACACGAGCGCCACTTACTTCTTTCCGCCATAAGCAGCTTTTGGGAGGTTCTGCAAGCTGCCGGAGGACATGAAAAAATCTACACCGTCCCTTTTTAAGCGGGGGGTGTGCTCATAGTCGTGCATGCCGTAGTCGTTAGACCATTGACCTCGCATCCCTACAANTGTTCGGCATCTTGTGCTTACTTCCTTGCGTACGGATGACAGCTGCGTATGACTTAATGTACTGGTTGCCGAGTTCACGAA